TGATAATAATGACAATGATACTATTGATAATCATTATAATGATAGTGACAATGATAATAATGGTAATCATATTGATAATATAATATGAAAATACCGATAAAGATAATTAATAATGATAACAATATAGTTAATAATATCAATTATTTTTATAATAAAGATAACGATAATAATGATAATGTCAATAATGATAATAGTGATAATGACAATGGCAATAATAATAATTATAAAGATCTTGATGATAATGATAATGAAAACAGTAATAGTAATGATAATGATAATGCTAATAATGATAATAATAATAATGAAAAACAAAAATAGTAATGATAATGATAATGATGATAATGATAATACTGATAATGATAATAATAAAGATGAAAATAATGATAATGATGATTATGATAATGATCATAATGATAAAATAATAATGAAAATGACAACAATACTATTCACAGTAATTATAATGATAATGATGATAATGAAAATGATAATAAAGATAATGAAATCCTGATAATGATATTAATGATAGTCAACATAATGATGATAATAATAATGCTCGTGATACTAGTGACAATATCAATAACGAAAAGGATATTTACGAAAATCATACAATTGATAACGATCATAAAGATAATGATAATGATGATAATTATATTGTTGAAAATATTAATGAGGATAATAATGATTATGATGATGTTGATAATGATAATAATGATCAAGGTATTAATGAAAATAATGCTATTGATAATGGCAATAAAGATAATGTTAATAATGACAGTGATTATAATGATAATGATAAGTATAATAATGATTATGATAATAAAGATAATGATATAATAATGATAATGAAGATTATCATAATGATAAGAATAATGATAAAGATGATAAAGGTAATGATAATAATGATAATGATAACAATAATGATGATAATGATAATGATAACTATGATGCTGGTGAAAAAGATACTAATGATTATAAGGATAAGGGTAGTAATGATAATATTAAGATAATGCAATAATGATAATGGTATTAAGGATAATGATAATAATGATAATATTAATAATGATAACAATGCTGATGAACATGATACTAATGATAACGATCATAATGATAATGAAAATAATGATAATTATAATGATAATGATATTAATGATAATGATAATATAGATAATGATAATATAGATAATGATAATATAGATAATGCAATAATATAATGATATTAATGATAATGGTAATAATGATAATTACAATGATAATGATATTAATGATAATGATGAAAATTATAATAATGATAATGATAATAATGGTAATGATAATAACAATATTGATTTATTATTATTATTATTATTATTATTATTACAATGATTATGATTATTATTATTATTATTATTATTATTTTTATTATTATTATTATTGCAAAAAAATATATTGTTATTGTAATTATAAACAAGATAAGAATAATGAAAATAACACTATTAATAATTATCATAATATGGTTATTATTGTTGTTATTATTATTGTAATTGTTATTATTTTTTTAAATATTTTTATTAGTAGTATAAATGTAAAAAAAAAAAATTACAGCTGTAATAATTGCAATAATAACGATAATATTGTAAATAATTATTTTAATAATTATTATAATATCGTTATTTTTGTTATAATTGGTGTTATAATTGTTATTATTATTATTAATATTTTTATTATGAGGATAAATGTAAAAAAAAAATATTAAGACTGTAATAATTCAAATAATATTGATAATATTGATAATATTGATAATAATTATAAAAATGAAAGTTCGATTTTTGTTATTATTATTCTTTTTATTGTTTTTATTATTTTTTATTATTTCTATTATTTGTATTATTAGCCCAAAAAAAATATATGGCCGCAATAATTATAATAATAATGAAAATAATGATAATTATAATAAATATGAAAGTGTGATTTTTCTTATTATTTTTATTATTATTGCTTTTATTGTTTTTATTATTTCTATTATGAGTATAATTAGCAAAAAAATGTATATGGCGACAATAATTACAATAATAATGATAATAATGATGATAATGATGATAATAATTGCAATAATGATGATAATGATGATGATAATGATGATAATGACGGTAATGATGATGATGATGATGATATCGATGATAATAATGATGATAACAACATTAATAATGCCCATTTATAATTAAAAAAAGGAAAAAGAAGAAAATACCAAAGTCAAATGATAATGATGATATCGATGATAATAATGATGATAACAACATTAATAATGCCCATTTATAATTAAAAAAAGGAAAAAGAAGAAAATACCAAAAGTCGAAAAAGCGGCAAAAACAAGCGTAATATAGCCTTTTCAGAGTTCACTCAAAAAGGACGTTTTTTCGATTTCAATGATGATTTTGACTATTATTAGGGTAAAAATGATAATAATAAGCATAATTGCATTAATCATGCCCATAATGATAATAAGAATGAGAATAATGAGAATTTTGATAAAATCATAATTATAATAGTAATTTTGATGATATTGCGAATAATTGCAATATTATCATTATTATTAGAACATGATAACTGGGCCATAGCGAGTTCGTGAGAGCGGCGCTTATCAGCCTCTTTTAATTCTAATTCTAATTTTTTCATCTCTCGTTCAGAAGCTCGCTCCTCGCGTTCTTCTTTAACATGCTCATGTTCTAATAATCTTTCAATAGCTTCCGGATTCAAACCGAGAGCCTGAGCTTCTCTCAAAATATCAGTTACTGACTTCATGTTTCTCGCAAACAAAAATAAGTGAGTAACAATTTAAACAATTAACGTTATTAATAAAATATCATTAACTAGGAGAACAACTCCAAACGTGACATCCACAGCACAAAACAAGGCTGATAATCACGGTTACGAGGCACGAGTATTTAACAGTCACTCGACCTTTACACGTAACTAAGTACGGGAAGCGAATTACGACTTCCGAACATCGAACTATAGGAAACACAGCGAAAACAATTTTCTCATTTACACACGAGGAAATACACCGTCACTATAGTTAACGATAAACATCACTTGCCTCACCTGCACCTCCCTTCTGCGCATGCCCGTGGTTTACAAGCACTCACCAGTATCATCACCACGACAGACAAAGTCATTTCCTTAAAAGATATACAATGTATTAGACTCCTACATAAGAATCCCCTATTAATGAAGCGAACATAACAAGCAATGTAATAATCAATGACGACACCATCCTACTCACTGCGCCAGTTGTAAAGGATCTTTTGTTAATATGGTGTCATTTCGTATATTGGGTTCATCACATCACTTAATCATCTTATCACTTTCATTAAAAAGGGGGATATAAAAAGAAGATATAACCATCACCAAATATATTTACAATTATAAGCAAACGAAAATAAACACTGTAAATGTACACGTCCCAAGCAAGCGTGTCAAACGGCCCAGGTGTCACGGGGCTTGTTCAAGCTTGGCGCTGCTCCGATTTAACCTCGGGGGCACTTGCGGCAAAATATCGTGGCGCCTGGCGTCAGCAAAGCCATGGATAGCATAAAATAACTGGAAACAAGAAATATATATATAAATATAATGAATTAAGAGCACCTACGGTATACCACGCTATGTGAATTAGCG